AGCTCTTGTTTATATATATTGTATAATTAGTTTAATGGAAAAAAAAATATGAAATTATTGCAGAAAATTATGCATTCAGCTTTTGTCTCCTCATCATTTTAACATTTATCAATTATTTCTGCTGATATTTATTTGCAACAAGACCGTTTAACTGAAATCATGGGAAAACATGGCATTTCAAATGGTGGCCAAAAGAGTTTTGATGATATTTTGTGACTTGTGATACACTATTAACTGATAATGTCAATTTATGCCACATACATGTATCTCTAAAAGAGATCTTACAATTTGACATTAAACAAACAAGACATTGCAGACTTCTATAATTCACGGTCTTTTAAAATGCTTACCACCTATTGTAAGTTTTATGAAAGAGGTTAATAGGTGTTCACTAGTTATGAAATCAGAGGGTCATTTTGACTACGTTTTACCGACTACAAGGCCAAATTCCCATGACTTTAACAAAATTTGGCCCTCCAGTTAAAATCCTGAGGGTCAAATAAGGCCTTTTGGAAATTGGAAGGGTTAAAGAGTCATTTAAAGGGTCAAACGGACACCCTGAATTAATTTGAATATTATTTTACAACTCAAAACAGGGATGTTACTGGACACTTTTGAAATATTTCTGAGCAGGTACATAATTATATCTTTAACCTCAACATTTAGTTCTGGTAAGCAATCAGTAGATTTGCTGGTTATTCCTAATTTGAGTCTCATTGTCTGTAATCAAGATTTAAAAACAAAACTAGAAATGTGTCCATAGGACACGGATGCCCCCACACGCCACTGTTCTGTCAATCTTATGACTCTAGGTCAAACATTTTTTGGGCTACATGTTGCCACAAGTTGAAAACTAAAAATCAACAAAGGGCCATAATTCTGTTAAATTTGGCCGCAGCAAAAATTCCTTCCTTTACTACCATCTACACATTAAGGTTGTTCATCCCTGGAAGTTTAAGCAAAATCTGCCATCCGGTTTAAGAGGAGCTGCATTCACAAAATTTCTACATAGTATATAGTGAAAAAATCAACCAAGGGCCATAATTCTGTTAAATTTGGTCGCAGCGAAAATTCCTTCCTTTACTACCATCTACACAATAAGGTTGTTCATCCCTGGAAGTTTACGCAAAATCTGCAATCCGGTTTAAGAGGAGTTGCGTTCACAAAATTTCTACATAGTATATAGTGAAAAAATCAACAAAGGGCCATAATTCTGTTAAATTTGGTCGCAGCGAAAATTCCTTCCTTTACTACCATCTACACATTAAGGTTGTTCATCCCTGAAAGTTTAAGCAAAATCTGCCATCCGGTTTAAGAGGAGTTGCGTTCACAAGATTTCGGGACGGACGGACGGACAAGTGCCATACTATATGCTCCCACTCTGTGGGGCCATAATTAAAGTCTTTTTTTTTTAATTTCAAAGCTTCTCATTGATTCAGAGCCCTTCAAAATATACATGTCTTTCTCAAATACAAACATATTATTTTCTTATTTTCATGCTAAGAACCTGGAAATACTGTAACAAGAGGGCCATGATGGACCTAGATCACTCACCTGACCCATCGAACTAATCCGAACAATTACCTAGACAAGCATTCTGACCAAGTTTCATGACAGTTGAGTCAAAAATGTGACCACTAGAGTGTTTACAAAGATTATCCATATTTGAGCAGTGTGACCTAGTTTTTACCCAGGTGACCTATATTCGAACTTGACCTAGAAATCATCAAAACAAACTTTCTTAATATTTACAGGATATTTGGATCAAAATAGTAGCCACTAGAGTGTTAACAATATTTTTCTATTTTTAGCTCCTGTGACCTAGTTTTTCATCCGAGGTGACCCATGTTCGATCTTATCCTAGCAATTACCTAGACAAGCATGCTGACCAAGTTTGATAACAATTGAGTCAAAAAAGTGACCACTAGAGTGTTAACAAGATTTTTCTATTTTTAGCTCCTGTGACCTAGTTTTTCATCCGAGATGACCCATGTTCAAACTCATCCATGCAATTACCTAGACAAGCATCCTGACCAAGTTTGATGAGGATTGAGGCAAAAATGTGACCGCTAGAGTGTTAACAAGGTTTTCCTATTTTTAGCTCCGGTGACCTAGTTTTTCATCCGACGTGACCCATGTTCGAACTCATCTGAGCTTTCACCTAGACAAGCATCCTGACCTAGTTTGATGATGATTGAGGAAAATTTGTGACCACTAGAGTGTTAATAAAGTTTTTCTATTTTTAGCTCCGGTGACCTAGTTTTTCATCCGAGATGACCCAAGTTCGAACTCATCCGAGCTATCACCTAGACAAGCATTCTGACAAAGTTTGATGATGATTGAGGCAAAAATGTGACCGCTAGAGTGTTAACAAGGTTTTTCTATTTTTAGCCCCGGTGACCTAGTTTTTCATCCGACATGACCCATGTTCGAACTCATCCGAGCTATCACCTAAACAAGCATCCTGACAAAATTTGATGATGATTGAGGCAAAAATGTGACCGCTAGAGTGTTAATAAGGTTTTTTCTATTTTTAGCTCCGGTGACCTAGTTTTTCATCCGAGATGACCAATGTATGAACTCATCCGAGCTATCAACTTGATAAGCATCCTGACCAAGTTTGATGATGATTGAGGCAAAAATGTGACCGCTAGAGTGTTAACAAGGTTTTTCTATTTTTAGCTCCGGTGACCTAGTTTTTCATCCAAGATGACTAATGTTCAAACTCATCCGAGCTATCACCTAGACAAGCATCCTGACCAAATTTGATGATGATTGAGGCAAAAATGTGACCGCTAGAGTGTTAACAAGGTTTTTCTATTTTTAGTGTTAACGAACAAGTGTGGACCCATGACGGACGACTGACAACGGGCATTCAACGATCCTAAAAGCTCACCCTGAGCAAGCTCAGGTGAGCTACAAATGCATATCTTTTATCACTTAACTATCCCTGCTGGGGGAGGTTTTTATCTTGGGTTCAATAATCCAAGTCATTGTCAAAATGGGGTAGGGCGAGCAGGGCAGTGACTGACTGACCAGAGCATTACAAACACAACATATATACAATGCCCTTTTTTTGTAAAGCAAAGCCTTTTCATTGATTGCTCGCCCTTGAAATTTGGACAATTTGGGAAAATATGCTAGCATTCTAGGTGGTACAATTTTTAAAATAAATCTAAATAAATATTACTTAAACAGTTCAGCTTTTTCTGTCATTTCAAAAAAACAAGGATAGGCTAAAATGTGTACAAATGTAAAACTGATATCAATTAAAAATCCTGTTTTTATTCACAAAACATGAATATATCACAAGTTTTACTCGGTCTGTAAAGCTATTTCGCCACACCAAAATTGAAAATGCAGTACTTTTTCTTACAAATTGCCGACTTCTACATGTAGGTTGGGAATATTTTTTTGGGATTGGGAAAAAAAATTTGGGTGGGAAATGGGGGAAAGGGGGGGGGGGGGCGTATGGGGGGAAAGGCCTGTTACTGCAATAAGGTGGCAATATGTCCATATGTTTTAGATTTCATAATTTCTAGACATTAATTTAATTGCACATGTAGCTAAAATTATCAATAATTTGTGTATTATTTGTTTCTAGACAAAAAATATCAAGGAAAATTGCTGTATTGATTATCTTTTCTATTAGGGGCATCACCTATATCTGTTTAAATGGGTTAGGTCGGCTTTTTGAAATCAATTGTGAGAGACACTCACTGTTTAAGCAACAAATTCATGAATTGTCAAGATGTTTTGACAGATATACTGGTGCCTCATATTTCCGTGGTACCCATATTTCCAAGGTATTAGGTATTTAACAGTCTTAAGTGCCCCATTGACTTCATGAACCTGCCAGTAGTTTTACTTTTACTATTTTATTGTATTTCTATCGAAATGTTACATATAAGACTGGAAAAAATTATCTTTTTATTCACATTAAGAGCAAAGTAATTTATTTCACCATTTTAGTTTTAGATTTCATACCTTTTAAGACAAATGTCTTTGTACAACCATTAAGATATTTGATAAAGGCCAAATAGAAAATCCCCACTTTCAGAAAAGCTTAGGTAAAGGTGTACTAAAAAAAATATTACTATTGGTTTTTCTTTTGAAACTATTAAAATCTAATTGCCTTTGAAATATGAGAACATGACTTTACAGTTTACTCACTAGACAGCAGATGGGTGTAAATTACAATGTTGTATACATAATTGCCTACATGCACACATTAAATGGAATAAAATATGATGCAACGGACACGTCTATCCTACAATATTCAATGTTGTTTTTTTTTCCAGAATTTTATCCTTTTAACTTTTGTTGTCTGTGTTAAACAGTTACATGTAAGTACCACGGAAATATGAGGCACCAGTACTAGTATACTATTTCGCACAAAATTAAATCTTACTTTACTAACAATATAATGGGGACCCGGATGATTTCACTGGAGCTGCTTTAACTTTAGACTGATTTGACTTTTACTTATCTCCCAATAATGTTGAATTCCTTTCAGAATGTAGATGTATTGCAAATGTTTAATGTTATGAATAGAACTTTGTTAAGTCCATTCTGACAAACTGACAGACATAGATCTATATACTTTTGTTAAACATAAATTTAAAGGGAAACAGAAAACTATGCTCAATATTTTTAGCTGTTGGTTTTCATACCTACAGACCGAATGCATAGCATTTAGAACGAGTGTATCAAAATTCAAGTTTGTATTCCTGATAATAATGACGCTGGAATATTAACTATAAGCAATCTGCTATATTAACTTATTAAGTTAAAGATAAGCATATATTTGATATTCAGTTATTCTATTAGCACATACAATTATAATACACAGTTTGCAGCAAATATGACAGCTGGTCAGTGTTTAGACCGTTCCGCTTCAGTGGGCAACTGTAAAACCGCAAAATCAAACCAGTTTTTCACGACTTGTTGCAGTAGCATCGGCCGTAAAATTGAAAAAGAACCTTAGTAATTGTACTCACCGCTTTAATATCAACATCATTTAAAATATTAAAGTACAAAATCTAACACAGCTGGTCAAATGTTGCTTTTTGCAGAAAAATCATATTCTCTCTTAGAACTTTTCTACTTCCGTCTTCCAGTGTACTCACTGCGCATGCGTACGCATCCGCCCACGCACGTTTCGGCTAAAAATACTCACATTCAGTGGCGTATCAAACCAGGTACGTATATATACGTACCTGATCAAACCCACGATTAAAGGTAAACCGATTAATAACGTATTTGAATATGTTGAATGAATTGAGTTCGAAAACTTCTATAATACTGGTTAAGAGATTGTGTTTACAATTGACACTTTAAATAAAACTTTTCATTAAACTATGTTTTTTTCATATTCTTGAGTAACTTAAATTTGTATCAGATTCTATATATAGAACAACAACGCAAACATATGTTTTCATGAGTTAAAGAAAAAGTTTTACTTATTAATTACATCTTTATCTAACTTTAACTAATTTTAAAATCAATGGTAAGAAACAACAATTAATAGTTTTGAAATAAATATAAACAAAAACAAAGAAAATCATAAAGGTTTTTTGACATGATGGGACTGAAAATACTTTTTTCCAGATAAATGTACCATTTGATGTAGGTTTAGACCACTAATCTTTGTGCAAAATTTCAGATCAATCGCGCACTTCGTATTCCAGAATAATTATTCAAATTGTAAAAAAAAATGACCCAAATTGAAAAGCGTTTTTAAAAACGCTTTTCACTCAAATCGGGCTAAAAATGGCATAAAAATACGATTTTCAATTTATTTCAACTATCTTTGCATATATTTCTGTTTAAAGTGCCCCGCCTCATTTATGTAAGAAATTCAAATGTTATGTTTTTAGGCTCTTAAACCTCAGTGGAGTCCTTTTAAATTTTTTAGTTCAATGCTATGTATACAGATGATTGATGATAATAAGGCCTTAGGGAGTTCTACCAGTTTGGAAAATATAAAATATAAAAATACCTATACATTTGCAAATATATCTTAATAAAAAAAACTCCAATATAACCTGACCAGACAAAAAAATACAAACAGAATTAAGTAAAGTAAGTGTTTATTGATTAGAAAATTAGTTTTAATTAGAATAGAATCGAATTTTTCGTATAACCATGCTTGCCATTAGAGTAAAATATCTGTGAACATTACGCTTTGAATTCTTGTTATGAATATAATTTTTAAAATTGGCTCAACCAACCCCATGGCCGGGTTGGCTGGGCCACTAATTGAGGTTGAATTAATTAGCCACTTGTTTTGAACCTTAATTTAATTAAATAAAAATGATACTGTAATCAGCCTCGGATATTGCATGATTGTACTATCTTTCAAAGATGATTGGTAATGTTTCAAACTCTGTTAAAAATTGTGCCACTTTAAAGTAAAGAGTAATTAAGTTCATATTCACGTATACAGTCCAACTTGCGTAAGACCTGGGACCAACAGACAGCTATATGGGATTTTGTACTACTGTTTGTCTTACACATGTGTCTGTCTCAACTCAAGCTAATGAAAAGCGATTTTTATTAAAATGTGACGTACTATTATAACAAATTAATGTTTTATCAACATAAACATTTACTAAAGTCTATAGATACATATGTACATGAATACAATGATTAAAATATGTTAATAAGATCATAATTTTGAAATATTTTAAAACAGGTAGACTTAGAATGTCTCGAAATGTCTTCAATTCTCAAAATTGAAAAGCTTTTGGTAAAAATACTAGCAACAAATCATAGAAGTTGAGTTGTTTAAGAATTTTTAAGTTGTATAAATGATAGTGATCGGAAGTAAACAAAAAAAGGTTCTCGCGTGCTTGCCAAAAAAAAAGGTAAAAGTTGTATAGAATAGATTTGCAGTTTCTGACATAGTAATACCATTTCTACACTACGAACGTAAGTTAAACTATACGCCGCCTTTTCTGTTTGAATAAGCCATCACACTGACGATGTTATACTGGGCCTCTTCTCCAGTTCATTAACACAATTCTGTCCTTTTCTTTTATTTGAATATTAATGTTTTTGATATATTTTCGGGTCTATTGTTCTCAATCGATCACATAAGCAGGGTTGCATTCGTCAAATACCTTGTCCCATAATTTAACGACCGGGCACCTGCCAGCTCAAACGAGTGCATTTATCAGGCTATTCCAAGAATTCATACATGCTCTATGTTACGAATCCAAGTGATTTTTGCTGTCGATATGTACATTTTAAATTGTTGTAAGAATCAGATCAAAGCATGACTAAATTTCCACTATCATTTTAAGAATTATTGGGATAAAATGAACAATTACAATGTATATTAAAAAAAGTAAAAGCAAGGTAAAATCTAGCTTAAGGGCTTCAGATTACCCGTTTAGACATGATGCCGCATCAGATGAAAAACACAAATGTTAAAAAGCGGCTTATAAAGATTTGAAAGCCAGATCGAACTAGGTAAAATCAACAGGCCACTCCGGAAACATCACATCTATTTATATATAGACATAGGCATTTGCCCTGATGATCATAAGAGAAACCGGTTGGCAAATAATTAAATAAGTTAACTCATGGACTGTGTTTTTTGTTTTCTACACTACTTTAGTTAAACTATACGCCACCTTTTCTGTTGGAATAAGCCATCACACTGACAATGTTATACTGCGCCTCTTCTTCAGTTCATTAACAAAATTCTGTCCTTTTCTTTTATTTGAATTTTTTAATGTTTCTGATATATATATATATATATATATATATATATATATATATATAAAAAAAAAACACAGTCCATGAGTTAACTTATTTAATAATTTGCCAACCGGTTTCTCTTATGATCATCAGGGCAAATGTGACGTCGTCGCATAGTATATGCAACGAGGGGTGGTTCATCCAACCCTTCAAACTTCTTTTTACATCATGTAACTCTGTATATTGCTCATATCATGTGTCAAAATTTTTCTTAGCTTAAATGAGTGACCTAAATGAACTCTGAACTCTTAACTATGATTCTGATAAGCATACGATATTTCAAAGCAGCCGTACAAACCGGACCACTGTGGGTTTTGCTTCTTCAGATTATGCTGGCAACCATTAAATGAGGAAGCTTCACTGGTGGGGATTTCAGTGTCAATATTTTTTAACGGATGTGTTCGAAAGAGATATCCTCTAATTTTCTGGTACTTAGATAATTGTACTTCAAGGAGCCAAACGTTTCGCTGGATTATTAGATTTCAACTTTTGAAATCGGCACTTGTAACCACTTGTAAGTTGATGTCGACCAAAAAAGACATTTTAGAGATATCGAAGTGAGAAATCTATTTATACATGTAAGTCCCACTCATAAAACTTTAAAAGAAAATAAATGATTGATCGTTACTGAACTACTTTGCCGGATTCTGCGTTTTTCAACGCGAGAGGAAAGAAGTGGACGTGGAGATAATGAATTAGTATTACAAGTCTCAAGTGGATACCTTCAATAGCTTTGAAGATTGATGATGCATGCAAAACGTTAACCAATATTATTTTATTATTCAATGATCTTAAATAAATAATTGTGAGAAGTTACAAGCACATACATTAAACGCCTTCGTGACTAGGAACTCTTTTCTTCGAATAGTTGGAAAATGTTAATTTTGTTAATGTTGAGGCCCACATTGAAACGTTAAAAGCCAAATGTGTAAGCCTCATTAAATAAAGTTACTTATTTACATTCAAACGTAAATAAAGGCGATTTCACGAGAAACTTGTGAATGTTTCAGTTGATCTGATCAGATGCCTGAAATAATGCAATAGGTACATCTGGGTAAATACCAGCAGTTAATACAGGTAAACCACCATATCATCCTTGTTTTGATTTTACGTCACACCAACACAGTATAGGTCATATGCTTTACTGTTGGAGGAAGACCTCGGCTGTCATTCCGTACATTATTTCAGACACGAACGGGCACCTGGGTAGAACCACCGTCGTCCCGTAAGCTGGATAGCTTCCTCACATGAAATAATCCAAAGTCCCTGTCGGGGATTCGAACCCACAGAGGTGAGGGGCATATCATCCTTGAAATGTAATTAAACAATATAAGTCATTCAAAATATAAATTTATTTAATATTGGATAAATAAATAGCACTATATTCAATAATTTATAAAAGTAAGTAAGTTCTCTTGTGTATTCAATAAATAAACATTTGTACACATGGACATTAATTTGTTGGTCCAAATTGAAATATTTGTTAAAAAGATAGCAATCCATCAAAACATCCGCTGATTATGCTGATTAAAATAAAAATAATGAAATATAGATATGTAATACATATAGTCTGAAAGTAAAATATACTGGAGTAAATTATATGAGAAAAAATAAAGTTAAATAAAATAACAGATTTTAAATCAAATTTTAGAAATAAAGGTGTCATTATTATGAACTTTCATGATAATTAATGATGAACATCAAGGTGTGTATTTAAAGTTTGCCATATCTGGCTTATGATTAAATTTCAGTGTAAAGGAGCTCCACTGAGGTCTGAAACCTAGTCACAACAAATTTAAAATTCTTACATAGATCATATGGAGCTCTTGAATCAGAAAATTATGCAAAAGGTAAAAAGAAATATACTCAGAAATAAACTGAAAATTAATTTTTAGTGTGATTCTTAACTTTATTGAGTTAAAAGAGTTTAAACATTTTCAGTTTAGGTCATTTGGTAAATTTGACCAATACAAAATGGTACACAAATCTCAAAATTATTTCCAGTTCCTTTGTTGTCAAAAAACCTCAGTGGAGTTGCTAGTTCTTAGGATATATTAGCAAGGTTTTAAGATCCTTGTCATTTGTGATGTAGGTTATAATGAAAAACAATTTTGCAGTGCATTTTTATATAACAAGCAGAACTATAGGTGATTCATTGGTTCATACCCCTACCTGCCACCTTAATTTTTTTGAAAAACAAGTGCTCTGAGGCACCTTATAAATGCCCTTTTCAAGTAACAAAGGGCAATAAGTCAAAACCCCAGGTTTAGTATAAAGTATGGACCTGCAATGTTATACAGAAGGACACATGATTGATCAGGTAACAATATCAATTATTAGAATAAGAAAAAGTCATGTGTCTTTATGTTTAAACAAAAATATTATCTATTCATGAAAACATAAGCCAGATGGCCAAAAAGATTAGCAAGGTAAAATTATTTTTTACAATGTTTTGCATGAAAAAAAACAAAACAAAAAAAAACAACAATCAATCACATAGAAATGATATAAGCTTCCTGAAAATTTAACAAGTAAAAAATTAATTTTATAATAAATAAAGTCATAAGTTCTGTAGAGGAACTGCATCAACAATGTTTAATTATCTGCAACAATATTTCTTGCTATCAAGGATTTCATGATTTCATTGCTCCCTCCATAGATTGGCTGTACACGTGCATCAACAAACGCACGTGCAATTGGATATTCCCACATATAACCCCAACCTCCATGCATCTGTAAACATTCTGTAACAATTTTGTTTTGTAAATCTGAGCACCTGAAAGTAGAAACTTATAATATTAATAATAGTGGCTATTAATTTCGTCTTAAAAACATATAATTAGAATTGCTTTAAACTTCTCTTGTTGTACACCAAACCTATCTTAAAAATCTTCTCCTAACCTTTACTGCCATGCAGAGTATAGGTATTTTACAATGCATCACTTTCTGATTCTCTAGAAAAAATAAATAAATCATAGCCCCTTAAGTATTATTTGATCCTGCCCTGGCCTGGGTCATCTAGTTTAAACTGGGTCATCTAGTTTGAATAAACTTATGCATGTAACGGAAACAAATTTAAGTCTCACTTGAGTAAAACAAGAGCGATCAGTAATCACATGTGTCGCCTCATGATGGCCAATTTCATGTTGGGACAAATTTTGTGACAGACGGACAGACAGACAGACAGTGCACAACTAGACTTTGTACTGATCATTCCTGTAAAGTTTGGATAAAATTGCACCAGTTGTTTATGAGGAGTAGTCCGGACAAGCTTTTGCGTATCTGGCAACACACAGAAAAAGAAACCTTTTTATCAAAGGGCCATAACTCGGCCAAAAATCATTCAACCGGAAAACCCATGCAATATGCGCAAGGACTTGAGCTACAGATCAATCCTGTAAAGTTTCACTGAAATTGCATTAGTGGTATAAGAGAAGTAGTCTGGACAAACTTTAAAAATAAAAATTATTAAAGGGCCATAACTCAAACAAAATCATTGAACCGGAAAATGCTGACAATATGCACAACTAGACTTGGTACTGATCATTCCTGTAAAGTTTGGATGAAATTGCACCAGTAGTTTATGAGGAGCCTAGTCCGGACAAGCTTTTGTGTATCTGGCAACACACAGAAAAAGAAACCTTTTTATCAAAGGGCCATAACTCGGCCAAAAATCATTCAACCGGAAAACCCGTGCAATATGCGCAAGGACTTGAGCTACAGATCAATCCTGTAAAGTTTCATTGAAATTGCATTAGTGGTATAAGAGAAGTAGTCCTGACAAACTTTAAAATTAAAAATTATTAAAGGGCCATAACTCTGACAAAAATCATTGAACCGGAAAATCCTGACAATATGCACAACTAGACTTGGTACTGATCATTCCTGTAAAGTTTGGATGAAATTGCACCAGTAGTTTATGAGGAGTAGTCCGGACAAGTTTTGTGACGGACGGACAGACAGACGGACAGACAGACGACGGAGAAGTGATCCCTATATGTCGCCACTACTACGTAGAGGCGACACAACTATAAAGCCCAGAGCTTAGATATTTGACACAAAGCATTGTTTCGTGAACTACAAGGGGTCTAATTATTCCTGTATGATAAAAGCAAAATTTACCAGTATTTGGCCATTGAAGCAGATTCTGAATCTAGACCTTTTTCATTGTGTACCTCAAGACATCTGTCTGTAAATGCGCGTGATACAGCAACAGATGTCTTAATCTCAGCAAGCTTGTGTTGAATTGTCTAAAATAAGGAACATTTACACAGTTTTTTTTAAAAAAAAAAAATGTAATACATGACAATGAAAATAAAGGACTAATTTCAATGCAATAACTATTTTTATCATAAATCTGAAACAAGTGTAGAAATGCCTTTCCCCATAAACATAATTTGACTTCAAAGAATATGTCTCAGATTAAAACAAATAACTAGGAAGGAATAACACATACAATTTTAAGGTATTTAACACAAACATAGGATCACTTGACTCACTGGTCAATTTTTAAGGAAGAGCCATAACTCAGCCAAAAATTATTAACCGGAAAACTGGGTACAAATGCACAAGTAAATGAGTTACTGATCAATATTGTCAAATTTCAGTCAAATTTGCATCAGAAGAAAAAGAGAAATAGTCTGGACAAAAATTAAAAAAATAAAAGTTAAAGGGCCACAACTCTGACAAAAATCATTGATCTGGGAAATGCTGACAATATGAACAATTAGACTTGGTACTGATCATCCCTGTAAAGTTTGGATGAAATTGCACAATAAGTTTATAGGGAACAAGTTTTATGATGGATGGACAGATGGACATACTAACATTTAGATAATTCAGTGGCTACTATATTGTCTTTTGTCAAAGAAAACATAGCCACATAAGAGCTTATGGAATGAATGACATCAAAGAAAAAGTTCTGTTACCTATTATTCCTGTAGCCACCCAAATGTATGCTAAGACAGACAGATGGACAACAGAGAAGTGATCCGCTGTTATGTAGCAGGAGACACATAAATTAACTGAATTACCACTTACTGGTATGATATTACGAGACTTACTTGTATGATATAACGAGACTTACTTGTATGATATAACTTCAGTTAAGGCATGGGACTAACTGGTATGATACAACTTCAGTATAGACAAGGGACTTACTGGTATGATATAACTTCAGTTAAGGCATGGGACTTACTGGTATGATAAAACTTCAGTTAAGGCATGGGACTTACTGGTATGATATAACTTCAGTTAAGGCATGGGACTTACTGGTATGATATAACTTCAGTTAAGGCAAGGCACTTACTTGGTATGATATAACTTCAGTTAAGGCATGGGACTTACTGGTATGATATAACTTCAGTTAAGACAAGGCACTTACTTGGTATGATATAACTTCAGTTAAGGCATGGGACTTACTGGTATGATATAACTTCAGTATAGACAAGGGACTAACTGGTATGATATAACTTCAGTATAGACAAGAGACTAACTGGTATGATACAACTTCAGTTAAGGCAAGGCACTTACTTGGTATGATATAACTTCAGTTAAGGCATGGCACTTACTGGTATGATATAACTTCAGTTAAGGTATGGGACTTACTGGTATGGTATAACTTCAGTATAGACAAGGGACTAACTGGTATGATACAACTTCAGTATAGACAAGAGACTAACTGGTATGATATAACTTCAGTTAAGGCATGGGACTTACTGGTATGATATAACTTCAGTTAAGGCATGGGACTTTCTGGTATGATATAACTTCAGTTAAGGCATGGGACTTACTGGTATGATATAACTTAAGGCATGGGACTTACTGGTATGATATAACTTCAGTTAAGGCATGGGACTTACTGGTATGATATAACTTCAGTTAAGGCAAGGCACTTACTTGTATAACTTCAGTTAAGGCATGGGACTTACTGGTATGATATAACTTCAGTTAAGGCATGGGACTTACTGGTATGATATAACTTCAGTTAAGGCATGGGACTTACTGGTATGATATAACTTCAGTTAAGGAATGGGACTTACTGGTATGATATAACTTCAGTTAAGGTATGGGACTTACTGGTATGGTATAAAACCAGTTAAGGGAAGAGACTTACTGGTATTGTATAACTTCAGTTAAGGTATGGGACTTACTGGTACAAGTGAATATCATAATCAATTTGGTCTTCTTGAAGGTCTTGTCCCAAGGAGTGTTGTATACAATTATGAAGGTAATACATTCATTAATAATAAAGTTATAGCCAAATATTGAGAAAAAACAAATCCTGAAATTACAATAACATGACCTTGAAGGTCAATATCATTTATGAGTCCTGGTAAAGTTCAGTCTGGTCTACTTGAAGGTCTTGTCCATTTTGAAACAAAACAAGAGCTGTCACAGGAGACAGCCAAGCCCGACTAATAAAATACTGGATGCAGTAAGGAGGACAAAACTATGAAAGAAAAATAAATTATGTATAATTATGTTTTCAGTTATAGTAAAAAAATAACATTTGTTAACATAAATTCCAAGATCAAGGGAATAATTCTAGAAATAGTCACACTAGAGTTATGAACCTTGTCACACAACATGTGTGTTTTGATAAGAAATATATATTTGAAGTTTGAAGTAGATACCTTAAAAGGTAAAGAAGTTATAATATTTCTTACAGAAAATCCTAAGTTCAAAGAGAGATAAATCTGTGAAAATTGCTTCAAGAGTTATGAACATTGTCACACAAAATGTAATTGATGATAAGGAATAAGTATTTGAAGTTTGAGGTAGATACCTTTTAAACTAAAAAAGTTACAGTAAAAAATAACATTTTTCTAGTAAAAAAAATCTAAGTTTATGGGGAGATAATTCTTGCAATATTGGTGCTAGAGTTATGAACCTTAAGGAAAATTCTAAGTTCAAAGGGAGATAAATCTGAAAATATTGGTGCTAGAGTTATGAACCTTGTCACATAAGATGTGGATGATGATAAGGTACATATATTTGAAGTATGAGGGTGATCCCTTAAGAAATAAAGAAGTAACAGTAAAAAATAATATTTTTTAAGGAAAATTCTAAGTTCAAGGGGAGATAAATCTAAAAATATTGGTGCTAGAGTTATGAACCTTGTCACATAAGATGGGGATGATGATAAGGTACATATATTTGAAGAAAGAGGGTGATCCCTTATGAAATAAAGAAGTAACAATAAAAAATTGTATTTTTTAAGGAAAATTCTAAGTTCAAGGGGAGATAAATCTGAAAATATTGGTGCTAGAGTTATGAACCTTGTTACATAAGATGTGGTTGATGATAAGGAACATATATTTGAAGTTTAAAGTTGATACTCTAAGAAATGACAAAGTTATAGTGAAAAATATTTTACTGCACCAAAACTTTAATCTGAAATCTGGACGCGGACGCCGGGGCGAGTAGGACAGCTCTCCATATACTTCGTATAGTCGAGCTAAAAACAATGGCATTAAAGTTTCTGAACGGCAACGGTAATCTTAGTGTATCTGAGGTAATAAATGGCAGATTAAAATTACACAAAAGATGAAAAATAAATTAACAAGCTTACAGGTAAGTTAGAGATTGTTTTTCCAAAAGCTTTTCTTTGTTTAACATAGCTTCTCGTTTCTTCAAACATCCATTCCATTGAAGCTTGTGCCATGTCAGCAATGATAAGCCTTTCTTGAGGAAGTTCCTGCATGAGGTAGTAGAAACCTTTGTTTGCCTCACCTAATATAGCACTTGATGGCAGCCGAACATCCTCAAAAAACAACTCTGCTGTGTCCTTCAATAGATTATGATAGATAACAATGTGATTAATTTTATTTTTTGGTCAACAGCTCAACTGACAATACCAATCATGTCATTAGCCCAAATGAGATAGCCAACTTGGTCAGTTAAACTTCGATTTGTTTAATTTCTCGACGTGTTGAAGTAAAATGAAAATCCTGATTTTTCCCCTCTATATTCTTTATAGAACTCTATATACAAGCGGAAATTTTGTGTGTCAAATTTTTCGAGGTGTCAAAGTCTTTTGTGGTCCATATAAAATGAAACAAGTACAATTTACCACAAATATGTACATCTATTCTATCTAATACTTCATTAGTTTTCAAGATAAAAAAAATACAATAAACAATTTAAAGTTTTCATAAAAATGTTCAAATCTGATGTTAAAAACTTTTTGCTGAGCAGTGGGCTTTTGTTCTAAGTGCCAAAGTTAGCAGAGAGCTACTGTTTTAGTAGGCTATTGTCCCAGTGAACCATTGTCTGTTCCCCATCCTTCAGATACAAGAACCGGTTGAACCGGGTAATGCTCCCCAAAAAGGTTTTGGACACAGAAAAGAATACCGCTTATAGTGTCAGTTATGTCCTGTACAAAGTTCAGTGTAAAAATGAAAAAGGGCAATAACTCCAAAATTAGGCAAAGCAGAGTTATAGTTCTTTTGCACTGCACATCTACCTAATAAGATCTATCTGTTTACAAAGTGTCTTGTTCATATCTATTATACTTGCAGAACTATGTCCTGGACTATGTTCAAAGTGTAAGAATGAACAGAGTTACTGTTCTTTTGCACTGCACTCTATTTAATGAGCTCTATCTACCTACATGTTTCTTGTTGATACCTCTTATGGTTTCAGAGCTATGTCCCAGACAAAGTTCAAAGTGAAAAAATGAACAAAGGGCAATGACTACAAAATTAGACAAGGTGAGATCTATATACAATGTACTTACAAAGTTCCGTGTTGATATCTTTTATAGTTTCAGAGTCAGGTCCTGGACAAAGTTCAAAGTGAAAAAATGAACAAAGGGCAATCACTCCTACATAAGCAGGGCAAAGTCATGGTTTCTTTGCACTGCAGTACTACTTAATAAGATCTATCTACCTACAAAGTTTCATATTAAAATCTCTTATAATTTTAGAGTTATGTCATGGACAAGGTACAAAGTTTAAAAATGTACAAAGGGCAATAACTCCAGAATTAGGCAAGACAAAGTTATGGTTCTTTTGCATTGCACCTCTACCCAATGACATCTATCTACTTACAAAGTTTCATGTTGATACCTCTTGTTGTTTCAGAGTTATGTCCCTGACAAGAATAGCGGACGGACGGACGGATGTTCGAATTAAATGGACTAAGGGGCCATTTCTTTTCTTATTTTCTTTTGTTTAATACAGGGCCATGGCCACTTATTCTATTGTTACGAAATGAACTCTATTGTTCTCTTTTGTTCTGTTTACAGTTACATGGCCCCCTACTTCTCTTAGATAGCACGGACAAAGCGTCTTTCAGGGAACATAAAAATGTCTAACTTCATACAGTGACAACCATACAATCATAATAATGATCTTTTGTATGACAAAAACAATAAATGCATGCAAGTACAAACCTGAGCTTTCATCCCTATTTTATGGAGCTTTTTCCCTTTGATAAACCCTTTCATTCCTTGTTCCACCAAGAAGAGAGTGATGCCATGAGCTGCAGATTTTGCCTGAGAATTTGTTATTGCCACAACCAGTACTAGATCTGCCATATATCCATTTGTTATAAACACCTTACTTCCATTAAGGATCCAGTCATCACCATCTTGTTTAGCATTGGTTCTGATACCCTGAAGATCACTGTTAAAGGAAGTAAAATACTGTAACAGTTTATTAAATTGAACCGGGTGATGCTCCCTGAATAGGTTTTGGACACAGAAAAGTATACCTCTTGAAGTGTCAGTTATGTTCCAGACAAAGTTCAAAGTGTAAAAATGAACAAAGGGCAATAACTCTAAAATTAGGCAAGACAGAGTAATGGTTCTTTTGCACTGCACATCTACCCAATGAGATCTATCTACCTATAAAATGTCTTGTTCATATCTATTATACTATTAGTTACAAAGATTGTTGACAGGTTATATGGCCCTATATAAATGGCTGTTCGTAAATATAACCCGAGCCACTAGTCAAGAGCAATAACTCAAAAAAATACTAAAAATATCCACATGAAAATACACAGGTGCACAAATACACATGCTGAGCAACATTCTTGTAAGGTTTAATTCATGACTCTAGGTCAAATACTTTTTTAGTTACGTGTGACACAAGTTGAAAATTGGAAATTTTTACTAAGTCAAGGGCAATAACTCTAAAAATACTAAATATATCCACACGAAAATACCCAGGTGCACAACTACACATTCTGAGCAACATTCCAGTAACGCTTCATGTCTCTAGGTCAAATATTTTTTGAGTTACGTGCGACACAAGTTGAAAATTGGAAATTTTTACTAATTCAAGGGCAATTACTCTAAAAATACTAAATATATCCACACAAAAATACCCAGTTGCATAACTACACATGCTGATCAACATTCCAAAAAGGTTTCATGACTCTGGGTCAAATATTTTTTGAGTAACGTGAGACACAAGTTGAAAATTAGAAATTTTTACTAATTCAAGGGCAATAACTCTAAAAATACTAAATATATCCACATGAAAATACCCAGGTGCAAAACTTCACATACTAATCAACAGTCCTGTAAGGTTTCATGACTCTAGGTCAATTACTTTTTGAGCTACGTGCGACACAATAAGGGAACATATGGACGGACGGATGGACCGACAAGGATAAATCTAAATACATTTGTACCCCCCTATAGTGGGGGCACAAAAAATGAACAATGGGCAATAACTTCAAAATTAGGCAAGACAGAGTTACAGTTCTTGTGCAATGCACATTTACTCAATGAGATTTATCTACCCACAAAGCTCTTGTTGTTTCAGAATTATGTCTCGGACAAGAATAGCAGACAGACGGACATCTGACTGAAAAGGGATAAAGGGCCATTTCTATTGTTATTTTCTTTTGTTTAATAGAGGGCCCTGGCCCCTTATTCTATTGTTATGGAATATATTCTATTGTTCTCTTTTGTTCTGTTTGCAGTTAGATGGCCCCCTATTCCTATTCGGTTGTACGGACGGATGGACAGACAAAGCGGCGACTATATGCTGACCCTTCGGGGAGCATAATTACATTAAAGCTATATACAGTCGAGACTGCCTTAGCGACCCCCTGATTTAAACGACTCCCTGTCTTATCCGACCTTGTTTCAGTACTCCCAACGTATTTTCCTATATAAATGGTCTGAATTAAACGACTCCCTGTCATATGTGACAAGCGACCCTAATTGTCAGGTCCCAATGCAATGTTTGGTCTGATTTAAACGACTTTCACACCTTTTAATTGTCCGTTAAATCAGATAAATAATACCTATTATAACACCCAGAGGGCCAAAATAATTAAGTCCAATTATAATCCAGTAGCAAACAAAGTCTACACACCTCTATCTCAATTACACAGTTGACATGTATAAATGCAGGTATCAAGTGACGTAGCGTCTGTTTATGGGAAGCATGACGCAATCGATGTGTGTGTAATGTACATTATGGCCTGAGTAAACTGGTTAAGACTTGTGTTAGATTTTTTTTTAATTATAGAGTGCCCACGGAAGATTTTTTAGGCAGCATATTTTTTTTATTTACCTTTCTATGACTGCATAATTAATACGGAAAAAATATTGATACTAAACCAGAAAAAGCTTTGGATATGGATATGTTGAAAGATCCTGTAACACAATTTTTCATGGTTTTATTTCATAAATATGATGCTCAAATTAAGATTTGTCAATATTGTAAGTTCAAATAAGCATTATTTATAAAGATATCACCCAATTTAACATTTAATATAAATAAAGGCCATTAAAGGGAGGTAATTAGAACTTTATTTTCTATAAATTCTAAGTTAAATTTTCCAATAAGTAATCAAAGCATGTAATTTATTGATTAAATATAATGTGCACAAATATTTTCAGTACACATTTTACATATTCTTTGATGTTTGAAAGTTGTTTTATTTGCATAATTATATCCATATATATTTTTTTTGCAAGTGTGGCAAAACATAAAGGATCTTTAAGTCACAATGGTATATAGACAGCTAGATGATACTTAAATTTAATTTTCTTTGAGACTGTATTTAGAGACTCCCTGTCATATGTGACCTTTTTCTGAAGATCCCTTGGAAAGTCACATATGACAGTCTCGACTGTATAAGATATAATAAAACTACATATATGTTTTACTAAAACTACACAATTATAACAAGACCTGTCTGCAACATTACTCTGCAAACATGCTTATCAGACTTACATGCCCTTGATAAGTTTGAAGTTAATACCTTCGACTGTTTTTGAGAAACAGGCAAATAGTCTAAGTAAAATAAGGGAAATAATAAAACAAAAATGGCTTTTGGGATTATGCCCCTCCCACCCCTCAAAATGCAGAAATACAAATTTGATAGTGAACAAGAACTCTAAGTTTAAAGACAATATCATTGATACTTTTTGAAAATGTACCTTATCGAAAAAGTTAACCATGAAATTCAAAGTCAAAAGGGGGTACCGGTATATGAGAAAATAAATTTAAAAATTACCTGCCCTTAAGAATTGCATTTAAATTTAAAAACTGAATAATGAAAAAGTATATAGATTAACTTGGACACTCTTTGATAAATTGACCTAAGAAAACAAATATAAAGTGGAATGGGGCATAAGTTTGCAAAAATGAAATGTAGAATTATCAGCCCTTCTTTTTGTGTTGAATATTTGAGTCAAGTTGGAAGAAAATCCTCCAGGGGGTATAAGATTTATAGAGCAGACACTAAATTGTCTGATATTTAACCTTTGACCTTCTAGGGTGACCTTGACATTGAGTTGACACAGTGATGGCATGGGCTTTGCACATTGCCTTGTTGAGGAGAACATTTGAGCAAAGTTTGAAGAAAATCCTTCAAGAGGTATAGGATTTATAGAGTGAACAGGATGGAAACTGACAGACCGATCAAATGACTAACAACACAACAAAGTGATTCAAGTATAACCCCTCCACATTATGCAGTGAGGGTATAAATATATTATAAACATAGATTGGGGAGGGAGGCTTTCAACCTCAAAATTCATTGGAGGCCGTAGGTAAGGTTTAAAATCTAGGGATAGATGAGGGATTTTATCCCCCCCCCCCCCAATAGTTGATATGGCATGTATGCATACATGAAAATATACCTTATGAATAATCCTGTTTTGCACATTAAGTAAGAAATTCATTCAAATCCACTAATCTTTAAACAAAATTACTTGCCTTACCTTGTACTAATGAATACTATGAATTGGGAAAATATTTAAATAAGCCTCAGTTTGCTGCCAGTCTAATCCTTTTTTGTTTGTATATTAATTTCAAAAGTATACAACTTGGTTAACAACAGTTTTATATACATGTACTGATATATTCACCATGAGTGACTAGAATACAAGCTTAATGTTTTATTCATGCAAGCTATGGACTCTTCTGATTTCAACATGTTTGATTATTTTTAACGAATGTAAGATTACCTTCCTGCGCCTGGTTCTGTCATGGCAATGGCTCCTATACATTTGCCAGCTGTCATGGCTGGTATAAATTTCTCTATTTGCTCTCTCGTTCCATAATGGCTAATGTAAGGCATCACAATATCAGAATGAAGAGCAAAGCCAGGACCGGAACAGTTAGCATACATTCTGAAAATTAAACATTTCCCATTTATTGTTTTATGAAGCATCACACTATTACTTCATCTTTAACACTGTTATAATTTATCATTCCTTTCACATTTCTGATGGATATTATACAATGCTGACAGTATCAACATAGCAAAATGCAATGTGATCATTTTAACATTTACTTTTTATGTTAGAGAACAAAACTATCTCAGCCCTATGATTCATATTCCTAGAAAATATATATTCAGCTTTAGTCTCAAATAAAAAGTAAACAATATTACTGTTCCTCCCAAGTGATAGCTGTTGATAGGACATCACCACCAATGCCACCTAACTCGGCTGGTGTGTTCACACCTAGCAAACCATGTTCACCTGCCTTCTCCCATACCTTCAAACATTACAGTTACACAAATTAAACATACCGGTACATTAAATACAACATTCATAATGGTTACTATTAACTATTTCTTCATAACATTCACACCATTTTTGAGACTCATATCACTTAAAACTGCTGTATATTTTACATTGTATAACATATAGCCTTTTTACAGGGAATAATAGCCCATTTAGACAAGAGCCCACTGAGACAATAGCCCACCCAGAAAATAGCCTATTAGGTCATTAGTCTTCAGGGACAATAGCCCACTGAGACAATAGCCCACCAAAGCAATAGCCTTTTAGGACATTACATGTAGTCTTCAGGGACAATAGCCCACTGAGACAATAGCCAACCAAAGCAATAGCCTATTAGGACATTACATGTAGTCTTCAGGGACAATAGCCCACTGAGACAATAGCCCACCAAAACAATAGCCTATTAGGACATTACATGTAGTCTTCAGGGACAATAGCCCACTGAGACAATAGCCCACTAAAGCAATAGCCTATTAGGACATTAGTCTTCAGGGACAATAGCCCACTGAGACATGAATCCACTAAAGCAATAGCCTATTAGGACATTAGACATCAGGGACATTAGCCCACTGAGACAATAGCCCACTAAAGCAATAGCCTATTAGGACATAAGTCTTCAGGGACAATAGCCTACTGGGATAATAACCCACTAAAGCAATAGCATATTAGGACATTAGTCTTCAGGGACAATAGCCCACTAAAGCAATACCTATTAGGACATTAGTCTTCAGGGACAAGGCAATAGCCCACCAAAACAATAGCCTATTAGGACATTAGTCTTCAGGGACAACAGCCCACTGAGACATGAATCCACTAAAGCAATAGCCTATTAGGACATTAGACGTCAGGGACAATAGCCCACTGAGACAATAGCCCACCAAAGCAATAGCCTATTAGGACATTAGTCTTCAGGGACAATAGCCCACTGGGAAAATAACCCACTAAAGCAATAGCATATTAGGACATTAATTTAGTCTTCAGGGACAATAGCCCACTAAAGCAATAGCCTATTAGGATATTAGTCTTTAGGGACAATAGCCCACTGAGACAATAGCCCACTAAAGCAATAGCCTATTAGGACATTAGTCTTCAGGGACAATAGCCTACTGAGACATGAATTCACTAAAGCAATAGCCTATTAGGGGACAATAGCCCACTAAGACAATAGCCCACTAAAGCAATAGCCAATTAGGAAAATAGCTCACTTGGACAATAGCCCTTGAGACAAATATTCTTTAATCTTGTTAGAAAGTTCCATAAAAGTATGTTGAATCTACCAATTAGATTTGCAATGACTTAATTTTTAACATTAATGTTAGCTTACCTCACGGCTCACTTGACCATCTTTTTCCCATCTGTCAACAGAGAATATCTTATGTAGAGATTGTTAAATTATATATAATAAATGAACATAAAATTTGGTAATTATAAAGGACATAAAGTTTTTCAAGCAATGTTCACAAACAAAATGCTTTAAAAAAATGCTTCATTTATTTACACAAATCGCACATAGCCCATTGGAAAGGTTTACATATTGACCAAACATCTTTCCGACAAAAACAAATTATAGTTATCATTAAATGTGATGTCCTCACTATAGATTAGGCTAAGGACTCAAAATATATTAGAATTAAATACAACTAGAACTATCAATAAATGAGATTAATACCACCGCAAGACTGCTTCGAAAATGAGGAAGTTACTAGTGTTAAAGAATTGAGATAGAGTTATGGTTGTGGGCAATTAAAGATAGTTATGGTTTTTGTATGTTGCATTTCCTAACAATATGGTTGACCATTGATGGAGTTTTATTGAATTACTCTGTAATAAATCCAGAAAGAGTTACGCTTCTTGAGCACTGCACTTCCTCTTATTGCGCTTGACCATTGTATGAAGTTGCATTGAATTTTAAACATTAGTTTTAAGTGATGAACCGAACAAGGAAAAGGAACAAAGGGCAATAACACTACAAATACTGAAGATGGAGTTATGGTTATTGTACACTGCACTTCCTCTCATTTTGCTTGACCATTGTATGAAGTTGTATTGAATTCCAACAACTAGTTTTCAAGTTATGCACTGGACAAAAAAGTAACAAAGGGCAATAACTGTAATGAGTCATGCTTCTTCTGCACTGCACTTCATCTCACAGCCCTTCACCATTGTATGAAGTTTCATTGAATTCCAAACATTAATTTTTAAGTACTGGACATTAAAAAGTAACAAAGGGCAAAAACTCTTAAATGAGTCAAGAAAGAGTTATGGTTTCTGTGCACTGCGCTTCCTCTCAATATACTTGACCATTGTATGAAATTGTATTGAATTCAAAATAGTACTTTTCAAGTTATGCTCTGGACAAGAAAAAAGCAATGGAAAAGTAACAAAAGGGCAGTAACTCAATAATTACTCTAGACAGAGTTATGGTTCTTGTGCTTAATGTGCTTGATGATCGTTTGAAGTTATATTGAATTCCAACTAGTAGTTTTGCTCCGGACAAGGAAATGTAACAAAGGGCAATAACTCTGTAATTAGTCAAGATGGAGTTATGGTTCTTGTGCAATGCATTTCCTCTCAATGTGCTTGATCATTGTATAAAGTTGTATTGAATTCCAACCATTAGTCTTCCAGTTATGCTCCGGACAAAAATAAGCAATGGAAAAGTAACAAAGGGCAATAACTCTGTAATTACTTTAGATTAAGTTATGGTTCTTGTGTTCTGCACTTCCTCTTATTGTGCTTGACCATTGTATGAAGTTGTTTTGAATTCCAAACAGTAGTTTTCAAGTTATGCCCCGGACAAGGAAAATAACAAAGGGCAATAACTCTATAATGAGTCATGATGGAGTTATGGTTCTTATGCACTGCACTTTCTCTCAATGTGTTTGACCATTGTATGAAGTTATATTGAATTCCAACCATTAGTCTTCAAGTTATGGTCCGGACAAAAGAAAACAATGGAAAAGTAACAAAGGGCAAGAACTCTGAAATTACTTTAGATAGAGTTATGATTCTTGTACACTGCACTTCCCCTTATTGTGCTTAACCATTGTATGAAGTTGTATTGAATTCCAACAATTAGTATTCAAGTTATGCTCCGGACAAGGAAAATGCAACGGACGTCTGGACCGACCGACCGACCACCGGGTGACTCCTATATACCCCCCCCAAACTTCGTTTTTGGGGGTATGAAAAAATAGGTAAATGCATAATAAAACAAAATCATTATTAAAAAGAAGCCTTAAAGTGTATAAAGCTAAATATCTGCTGCAAAAATTATTGTTTATTGTTTGAATTTCAAAAAAAAAAATTAATACCAAAATGCTTGCATAAAAGAAATATGGTAGGTAAATTGCCTACAAAGCGAATGACACATGCACAAAGTTATTGCTAAATGGATAAAACCCTTCTTAAGATAGCAGAATACTGGTTTTGTTTCATACAATATCCATGTGTGTTAAATAACTGAGACATTCTTTGTTACAACTCCTTCTGTTATAAGATAGAGCTTTTATACCCTTTAATATTGAGATTGAATGGGGATGCAAACAAAATTATTTCCACTGTGTAAACACAGCCTTTTAACTGCCTGACTACAACACTCACCATACATAATCAATGGCAAAATAAAGTTCAGTTTCAGGACCCCCCCACACACACACACCTACCCCTACCCTACCATTTACCTGCCAACCATAGACTTTTTTGCCCTTTTGATTTTTCAAAATTTTTTTGGTTCAATATCTATGATAACCTTCTATAAAAGCATGTTATTGTAGAAAATAAGAAATTCTTATTCCTTTATTTTTTTTTGGCAGAATACTAGAAACAAAACTATTTATTTTAGCCAGGTTATTGCCTAACTTTTAACACCTATAAATTCACATCATTGTCTAACACATATTCAGATCATTGCCTAACTGCTACATTTAAAAGTTTAATTCAATGACTACATATTTAGATCACTGCATACTACTAAAACTTACTGTGCATGATGTGGCGCAACTTCTTCCTCAAAGAATCGTCTTACACTCTGTCTAAAGATATCATGTTCTTCAGAAAAAATCTTTCTTGTGCCAATATCTGTTAACTTAGAGCTTTGCTGAACTTCTACTCTATCAGAATAGTTTCTATAAATGAGAGTAGAAAGAAAATAAACAAATCTATAACTCTATCAACTGTTACCTCATTGAAGATCACACACAACACCATAAACTATCTCAATACATCTTAATATTATATGCATAATAAGAATTTCATAAGAATATAATGTAGATGATAACTTTCAGTACATGTATGTTCTATCAATTCATGGGAAACAACGTGATTAATACAAAAATTATACTAAATGGTTAAAGCTCTTCATTATATCAAGCTAGAATTATTTCAATAAAACTACAAGAAATAAAAAACTTGAAGATAGAAACTATAGTGCACTGTTCTTATTTAATTTTCAGCTTTTAAAGAATTGCCAAATAGTACTTGATATTAGTTCACATATCTGCAATTAATTATTGAATATTAAATTTGTGTAAGTTCTAACTGAATTCATTGAAATTTTTGAATAAAATAATATTACTGTATGCTCACTGAATTCAGTATTAAACTGACACTCATTCAATATCCTCTATCTATATCTTGAGGGGCAGGAGTGGTGACATGTGTCAGTTTTCGACACTAAAAGCTCATTTTTGTGCCTTAACGGGCGGATGGACCCCAATTAAGTATAAACTACATTTATCTTATTAATGAATAGCTACAGCCGCTTCTGTATCACACCCGTTCGTACGGTGGCACAAAGGTGACATGTGTGTGTTTTTATTTATCTAGTGGCCACTAGATACTATGTCTTGGCCACGAGTTACTAAGTTTGTGGCCACGAGATAGCTAACTCGTGGCCACACGAATACTATTGTTTGGCCACGAGTTACTAAATCATAGCCACGAGATAGCTAACTCGTGGCCACGACATAGTATCTCGTGGCCACGAGATACTATGTCGTGGCCACGAGTTACTAAGTCGTGGCCACGAGAATAGCTAAGTCGTGGCCACGAGATACTATGTCATGCACGAGTTACTAAGTCATGGTCACGATTACTAAGTCGTGGCCACGAGATAGCTAAGTCGTTGGCCACGAGATACTATGTCGTGGCCACAAGTTACTAAGTCGTGCCACGAGATAGCTATGTAGTGGCCACCAGATAATTAACCAATCAGAATACACATATTATATTATGATTTTTTTAAACTAAACAACTTACTTTTACATGCAACTGCAGTCTGCGCGAAAGTCTGTCAATCCTCGGACCTCGCCAAACTAAAAATCAGGAGGGGCCGAGAAAATTTTGATACAGTCAGTCCTCATGTCCGATTAAAATCACCAGTTTGAAACAATTTTTTGGCCTAAAATATGTAAACTGTTATATTTATTAAGTTTCGATTTTTTTTTCCATTATCTTAAATAGTCTATTATTCTATTTGGAATTTTTTGATTATATTCTGGCAACACCCCCACCACAAAATACTCTCATCAAATCACCTGCAAAAGAAATCATCAAGAAATAAATGCTAGGATCCCAGTTTTTCCTTTGGCTGAAAAAAATTTTTGACTTTTCGCAAAATTATGCAACTAAAACTACTGAAGATAATACTTGTGAAATTGTCACTTTGTTATAATTTTTGAAAGAATTGCCATAGACATTAATTTTCACATAGCTCTTATTTTGAAATTAATTTGTGAGACTGAACTGTTCATGTTTTGACATAAATAATATACTGTTCTCCTTGATTCATAACTGACTAAAAATCGAAGGGAATAAGTACATGTGTCAGTTTTACTAAGGGACATTTTTTGCCATGGACGGATACGCCATAAGTATACTCTTCTTGTTAATGAATATAATTTGTACACACGTACTGGCCATTTGTTTTATTATAGGGCCAGAAATACTATGCTTGCCTGATTCAGTGTGAAACATAGCTAAGTCTGCTAGGTCATGTGTGGTCGAAAATCAGGTCACAGTGACTAATCGTCAAAATCTAGTTCGTCCAAAAGAAAAGCAAAGTGGCACGAGAAAACTAGTGGCTATTCTGAATTTGCACGAGTAGCGTAGGGGCCCCGATAAATTTCAAACAGAATACCGATATTTTTGTTTTTCTTACAACTTTTTTATCAACTAAAATAACAAGATATTTACTTGTTGTTTTTATCAATTAGAAACCCCGGCCCCAAAAATGCTATACCTTTGTGGGAACATTTCTGATATTGGGTCAGTTTGTCGCTCGCCTTTCGCTTGTTCCATACGTAAAAGCAAAGAATAAGCCATTATTTGAAGGGCATTGCCCTGGAAATGATAGCCTAATAAATACCCCTTCTCTGATGTAATAGAAGGTGCATTGTATATGAAAGATTTAACCCAAAAAACACATATTTCAGTCAGGAAAAGGTCCTACCAAAAAATTATTTACACAAAATTGTATAAATGGCACTTTTACAGGCTGGTAAAATAGGGGAATCCTTGTACTATAGCACATGTCTAGTTAATTTGGGAAATTCATATAAATGGTGTAATCTGATTGGTTATAGTAAATCGTGGCCACGACATAGTATCATGTGGCCACGAGTTAGCTATCTCGTGGCCACGACTTAGTAACTGGCGGCCACGACTTAGTAACTCGTGGCCATGACATAGTATCTCGTGGCCACGACTTAGTAACTCGTGGCCACGACATAGTATCTCGTGACCACAAGTTAGCTATCTCGTGGCCACAACTTAGTAACTTGTGACCACGACTTAAAAACTCGTTGCCACGACTTAGTAACTCGTGGCCATGACTTAGTAACTCGTGGCCACGACATAGTATCTCGTGACCACAAGTTAGCTATCTCGTGGCCACGAGTTAGCTATCTCGTGGCCACGACTTAGTAACTCGTGGCCACGACATAGTATCTCGTGGCCACGAGAAATATAAAAACACACACATGTCACCTTTATGCCACCGTACTTTCGAGTATTTTTGCAGGTGTATAATACATCTAGATCTATACTGTTAGACAATCTTTTTCTATCCGAAAACAGCGAAATTGAAACGACACCTGACTTGTCCTGTGACATGAAGCCTTATAAAAGGTAAATGCAAAGTAATCTTTTCATATTTACCTTAAAGATGAAGTAGGAACAATCTTTGACAAGCTGTTCAATTTCTTTAAACGTAAAAGATGCCTGGACAACATTATTTTGCCGGTGTTTGGACTTTGTATACACAACAGAGTAACGTCCCTTGAATTTACTCGATATACAATTCGCCGGTCCGGTCTCTACCGGGCTCTTTCAACCGGCAAATTACGGACAGGGCGGACCGTACATGTACCAGGGCTTGGACGGGGCGGACCACATTTTGTAACAGGGCGGACCGAGACGAGGTGGACCGTCATTTAATGTAATAAAAATATTAAATATTGCCTCTTCTTTTTTTCTTTTAATATCATTTTAAACATATACATAATTTAATGCAGTTATTTGATCTAGAATAAATTTGTTTCATGAAATTATAAAACAAAAACAGTATCGAGTTGGACATTATGCAGGTGATAATTGGGAAATTACATGTCATTGTTTGTTAAATAATATAAGAAGGTAAAACTTTATTTAACAATACGATACAGAAAAGGCTTGTTATTCACGTCTGACATTTGAAAAGTACACAATACAAAACAATAGCGTAAAATGATGAGGAGTAACATTACAAAAATGAACACAAAATTTACATCGTGCACAGAAAAGATGACTTACTTATTTTATAGATATACTAAAACATAATTACGAAGTCAGACAAACATGTATATATATACGTGTACAAAACTTAAAAACCTCGTGTCGTATACCAATTGAACTACATTTTAACATATATTTATATATACACATAATATTATGCACAATTATACACGGCCATTAAGGCTTGCGCAACTATCAAGAGATTTTTGGTGGAAAGTGTCCTTCTAAAATGTCATCAATTTTGACTGCATGCTCCTGGTTGACTTCTCCTCAATTTCGATTATTTTGACTTTGTCTTATTTAAGATGCTGTCTGTTTAGCGATTTGATGATATACATGTATACATTTCTTGGTCTTCCTATAGTAACGACTTAACTCATATGAATAATCATTATTCCTCTATACAGCTTAAATGTTGTGAATGGTATATATAAAAAAAGGCAATTAGGGTATTTCTGTCAAGTTTTTTTAATATCATCGCAAAGGGAAAATATATTTTACAGATGAAATTTGTTTTAATCCATTCCCACTATCTTACGCTACATATTTATTCTTATAATTGCATGATAAAATGTTAATAATAATCTGTTTAATATGAAAATACTTAAATATATGACATGTTTACGATGTAAATGATATCAAAAGATAAAAGATAAATGAAATAGCAATATTAAGCACGGTCCCCCTCGTTTCGAGTCACGAATAGCCTGTCTCAAAATATGGTCCGCCCCGTCCAAACATACTTGTCTCACGGTCCGCCCTGTCCTACGATCCCTAGACACCGGTGAATGTTTGAAGCGGATGCTATCAAATTATTTTTTGTTTGTATTTTAAAAGTAAGAATATAGTTTCGAAGCATAGTCTTCCCATACCAAAATACAAAAGTCAAATTGAAAATGTCTAAAGAAGAGCAGCTCGATGAATCAAGATAGATTATGGTCAGATGTTTAGCGTGACGGACATGCTTCACGAAAACTGGAACTCAGACGCTAGGTTATCCCTTTTCTACAAGATTAATTATAGTCTGGTTGCTATCCCCATAGAAGAATATGTGGCACTCTCTCCCGAACATCACGCCATGGTCATCCCCTGTGTTCATCAGTATAATAAAATTATCGGAAGCGACGTCATAACAGAACACGCGTTAAACGCGCGAAAAACGTTATGGCGTTTAGCGGCAAAACTATGATAACATGTAGAAACAAATTTTTGTTTTTGTTTTTGTTTTAAATAAAAATGCTGGCATTTCTGATGCATATAATTTATGATGGGCCTTTTAGCCTATTTTTATGTACTTTATCTTATTATCTTGTAATATTGAATTAAGAACATGTGAGATGCTTGTCACAAGAAGAAACTGAATGTGACACATTTTGTGATATCATAAAAGTAGAAATCTAGCAAAATATAAACAAAGTTAATATTTTAACTTCAATACAAAATAGAATCTACTAAATCATTATTACTGCACTGATTACTAGTACACAAAGCAAGCGAAAGATGGCACAGCTTTATGGTCAATAAGTAATGTGCAGGAAACTGTCACACAAAAAAATGTTTTTGAAAAATAAATATATCAACTTATCCAGGCTTAATGGGCCATTAAATTCTTCTTGTTCTTTTAATGTATTTTCGTCCATTCTATCCTTTTTTAGAAAAATCAATCGTTAAAAAATGTATCATTTACAGTAAAACTTAATCACAATTTAATTTTGAAGGTTTCTTGAATAATTTCAATATTTTAATCTCACTAATTATTTAATTTGTATATTTTTTCATTTTCTAAATGATTTGTTGCAACCAGGGTTGCAACTCGTAACACAATAATATCCCGTGCCTTACCGTAATATTATCATATTAGCACAACGTGCTTATTGGACTATTGTGATCCCCTCTGCTCGACATTCGTCGGCGTGCGTCGTTCGTCGTCAACAAAAACTTTATACAACATCTCCTTTTAAACCAATGAGGCAATTACTGGATATTCACCAAATAATTTAAGGCAATATAAAGTAGTAAATGTCTTTGTCATAAGATACATGTATTTGTTTGTTATAAAATGCAATATATTTTATGTGCTTTGTACATTTGTAGTCTCTTGTAATTCTGTATAGAATGGCTATATATACGTGTTCTTATGATATATTTTGTGTTCTATTATATTGTGCCATGTATATAGATGAGCCCAAGTCATCTAAAATCACAGCGCCGACATGAAAGCAAATCATATGGATACAAGCGAACACTTAAACGCAAGCAATGATAGTTCGACAAATAACGAATGAAAAACAGACATACAATAATTAAATGAGCCGCGTCACGACAAAACCAACATAATGGGTTTGCGACCAGCATGGATCCAGACCAGCCTGATCAGGATCCATGTTGTTCGCTATCAGTTTCTCTACTTGTAATAGGGTTTGTAAGCGAACAGCATGGATCCTGATCAGACTGCGCGGATGCGCAAGCTGGTCTGGATCCATGCTGGTCGCAAACCAATTATGTTGGTTTTGTCATGACACGGCTCAAATGTGAATTGCGGTACCTTATATTTGTAGTATAACGAAATGATAACGAAGAAGACTACATGTACATCATTTTTTCGCTTATAAATGAGCGTCTGTTCATGTTTTTTTTCACTTTACATTTACATGCGGCGATGGGATCGAATTTGCCAATTAAAACGATATTTTTTTTATTTAAATATGACCAACACAGATCTAATACAAATTTTATGGACAATATTTTTGTTGAAGAACTCCTGTGTCTCAAATATGGTCAAATAACAAACAGTTAACATGCTATCAAGAAAGGTAATTTATTTAGAATCATTTCAATCTTGAAATTGAGTTACTTCCCCTTAATCGTTATGGTACATCACTTGAGCTCTGGTCTTAACTACGGAATGCCGTTAGGGCCATCGCTTATGAATGTGTTGATCTAAAACGCGATAGTCGATAGTACGATGGTGAAAACGCGAAATCACGAAACTACGATGGTGAAAACGCGAAAGCACGATGATGAAAACGCGATAGTACGATGATGAAATCGCGACAGTACGATAGTACGATGGTGAAAACGCGATAAACTATCGTGTTTTCACCATCGTACTGTCGCGTTTTCACCATCGTAGTTTCGTGATTTCGCGTTTTCATCATCGTACTGTCGAGTATCGCGTTTCAGATCAAACCATTCATAGGCGATGGCCCTAACGGCATTCCGGAATGCCGTTAGGGCCATCGCCTATGAATGTGTTAATCTGAAACGCGATAGTCGATAGTACGATGGTGAAAACACGAAATCACGAAACTACGATGGTGAAAACGCGATAGTACGATGATGAAAACGCGATAGTACGATGATGAAATCACGACAGCACGATGGTGAAAACGCGATAGTACGATGATGAAAACACGACAGTACGATGATGAAAATGCGATAGTACGATGGTGAAAACGCGATAGTACGATGGTGAAAACGCGATAGTACGATGATGAAAACACGACAGTACGATGATGAAAACGCGAAATCACGAAACTACGATGGTGAAAACGCGACAGTACGATGGTGAAAACACGATAGTTTGTCGCGCTTTCATCATCGTAGTATCGTACTGTCGCGTTTTCATCATCGTACTTTCGCGTTTTCATCATCGTGCTTTCGCATTTTCACCATCGTAGTTTCGTGATTTCGCGTTTTCACCATCGTACTATCGACTATCGCGTTTCAGATCAACACATTCATAGGCAATGGCCCTAACGGCATTCCGTACTTAACGACATCATTCTGTTTAAGCGTTCACAAATAAAATAAATATAAAAGCTAGATACAGGCAACAAAGCAAAGCCATTGCATCGAAAAATCCATTGCCATTTCTTTACTGTAGTGTTATACATTATAAAATACCACAACTTTGACTGATATGTCATTTTACCATAAAGCTTTGATTCATAAATCTGTAGCATATGGCGGCTGATGTGGTACGCTTTTGTGCGTCTAGATGGCGCTAGCGACAACACGACAAAGCGCCAAACCTCGCGTTGTCAGACTTTCGTCTTGTCGTCCTGTCTCTAGCGCTACACGCAAAACGGCGCGGCGAGTTGTCGTACGGCGTGTTGTCGCGATGTCGCCCTGTCGCTTGGCTTATAAGCCAATCCTTCAATTTAAACCGAGCGACAATGTGACATCGCGACAACATGCCGCACGACAACACGCCGTTTGGCGTGCCGCGCTAGAGACAGGACGACAGCGCGCCGTTTGGCGCTTTGTCGTGTTGTCGCTAGCGCCATCGCGACGCACAAAAGCGTACCAAATCAGCCGCCATAGTAGCACGATGCTGCATTACAATATGTAAACTATCGGCCAAAAATATTTCAATGTGTGTTTATATACATGTAAGCGTGGGCCTACGTGTACGAATAACTATAATTATTGAAGGGTCACGTGGTTATGCTTGATGTCAAATATCTACACTAAGGGCATTGATGTTTCTGTTGAACCGACTTTCAAATAAACCATTTTTCC